TTGCAGTCAGTGAAGCTATTCCTTAAATATTCAGTATGGCCTTAAACCAGGCCCGTGTTACAGCATGCATGTTACATAATATTCTGAATCTTTAAATTAAATGTATGCATGTGGGTCTTGAGTTCATAAAAAGCACTGAGGTGCCCTTCTTCTTGTAGTCATGGGAAGGCTGTAGTGCTGGTGGATGCAGCCCTGCTTTCTTCATCCTTTTGCTGGCAGACAGGCCCAGCTTGGGCTTCTCCTCAAGGCTGCCAAGCTCATCCTGGGACTGCCACAGCCTTTGCTGTGCTCCAGGAGCCTTCCCTCCAATTCTGGCTTCCTAGATTCACAACACAAGCACGCCCGCACGTCCCACCGCCTCGCTGCTCGTTTCTTGTCTGTCCCACACGATGTGATGTCTTCCTTTCCCCAGTTCTGCCAGCACAACAGTTGGTGTGGCGGCTCATTTGGCTCGCATTGCATAAATTGTGGAAGTGTTTATTTGGTTTAAATTAAAAACAAAGTCATGTTGGCGAGGTTTTTCATCAGGCAGCTCAGTTCCACGGTCTGCTCTGCAGATGGGTTGCAGGCTGTGGCACAGGGGCAGGAGGGAGTGCAGGGGATCTGGGGTGTGGATCTCTGCCCAGTCCCCTGCATCATGACACTGCAACCATCAGGAGCAGCATCAGCAGCTTACAAGAGCAACTCCAATCTGGGATTTATTTTAGTTTTTTTGGCAGTGTTGCACTCAGGGATTTATTGGTCTTTTGGATGCACTCAGCTTGTATGTTTGAGATGTATTTTGAGAGCCAGAAGCTGGGATTCTCACACGTACCCATCAGGAGTGAAAGGAAAGCATGCAAAACTGCAAACTGCACAAGCGCACAAGAGCCAGCAATGCTGTGAGCAGGTGAGAGTTCACCTTGCAGAGCATTGCTGTAGCTCTGAAGAGCAGAGCCTCAAATTCAAGATTGCCTGTGATGTTCAGGTAGACTGTGGCTCTTACAGCTGGCAAGGAGAGTCGGCTTCAGCATGGAGGTGAGTCTGGGCTCTGCATTGAGACTCGAGCAGGCTGTGCGACTGCTGTGGGCCAGAGCAGGGAGTCCCATCAAGGAGCTGCCTGTGCGTAAGCTATGTGGGCCAGAGTCGAGAAGAGTTTCAAGGTCAGTGAATAAAGCAACTGAACTCGATACATTCTTTATTGGAAGCAAATAGAGAAGCAACAGCATCTTAGTGAGGAAGAACAAAGCAAAATGTGGCAGAGACTGAAAGAGTGCACGTGCATCTCAAGCCAGATGTTACACTACACCACATTTTACAGAGTACGCATTAAGTACTGCTGTACAGTGTGCACGGCTGTCAGCTCCCTCCTCAGCCCTGATGTGCTCAGACACTGTCTCTGCCCTGAAGATTTGGCACTGTAACTTGATGTGGCTGGAATAGAGAAGGGCACTGGGGGTGTGGTGGCTGCTCCAAGGTTACACAGCGGAATAAAACTGAAACCAGAGATTCCTGTCCTGCCTCCAGTGTTTGACCCACTAGATAGCAAGCTTATAATGTGGCTTTTTATGCTTGCTTACTGCCCTCTGTGAAGCTCAGTGCTTTATAGGTATTGATTACTTAAGCCCTGAGTTGTGCCTGATAGAGGAATGTTATAATAATTGTTAGTACAGCATTTATTTCAAGTTTAGCCAGAGATAACATAGCAGAGGATAAAGCAAGATCTAAGCCAATCAATTCTTGGTATAATGTAATTAAATGATACTTTATACATAAGAAGCATTAATTCAGCTTTAATGGCTTGAATTGGTTTAGGTTTCTTAAGAAGCAATTGAGGAAATACAGAATAAAAGGATGAACTCCTGGTCATGTTGAAATTGATTGGAGTTTTGCCATCAATCTCAGCGAGGCTCCAGTTTCTCCAGCCTTGCATCAGCAGTGATGCTGAGCTGGCTGCCCTGCACTCGTCATTCCTTCTGCTGCTGCTTCTCCTTACTCAGCGTGCCATTCCCTCCAGTGCTGGATGTGTCATACAAGTCACATCGCCCTGGGACTTGATGAGGAATGTGGGTGAAGTAATGTTGCTGACTGAATCTTGGCCTAAAATGTATCCTGATTTTATTTATCTTTTGGTACAGAAACCAGAGGAGTTCTCTGATGCATACCGTCTCAATCCATTTAACTGTGATTGTTCATGTGTCTAGCCATAACTACATGCTGCAATGCCTTGGTGGCTTGGGTCTGAAAAGACTGCATTTAGTGCAACTCTTTTTTCTGTTTTTGCTATCATTGCTAAACCTGGATGTTGCACTTAGCATATCTACATCATCTTTTTGTTTTTTCCTTTTGGAGAAGAAGAATTTGCCTCTGCTCTCAGAGATGTTGCTAGTGTCCCCATGCGAGGCTTGGCAGTGCACATCTGCTGTGAGAGACTGGGGTGAGTGAAGGGTGTCCCAAACTTTGCCGCTGTTTGTCTGCAGATAATTTTGAGCAGGACTGACACAGTCCTCAGTCCTGACTTCAGACACATCTGTTACACTGGTGGGCCTGATTCTGCAGGCATTCCACATGCACAGCTTCTCCTGGAAATTATGTATATGCAGGGCTGCAAGACTGGTCCTATCATGACTATTTCCTGGCAGTGGGAAAAGGCAGAAACTATTTTTAAATGAAAGCTTTGAATCAGAAGAATATTGCAGAGTGCAGCAAAATTTGTGTCAAAACCCTGAAATCATGGACTCGGCAGTTTTCTCATGCCAGCGGTTTTCTTCTTTTTATGGTTTTAAGACTGTGTTTTTGGAGAATTGGGCTGAGTGTTTTTTGGTGAGATATGTCTGTTCTTCCTGGTGCGCATTATCTCAGCAGCAGCATTCCCTGTGCAAGTCAGGCAGAGGAGAGGCAATGCACTGTGATGTGTTAACAGGGGTGGGGCTCTGCAAAAGAAAACAAAAGAAAACAAAAAAACCTTCTGATTTGCCTTGCACACAATCAAAATAGTGCTTCAAGTTTGCCCCTAAGTTCATTATTCAGCTGTTTTGTTTGTTTTCAGATTTTGTGTTATGTTCCTACATCTGTGCACGTTTCCAGCTTCTCTGTGGTCATTTAGGAAAACCGAAAGAGAGAAAACCTGTGTTTCTTTCTCTTAGCACCAGGAAATTATGCCCTCTTTTCCCCATCACTTGCTTTTGCATAGCTCAAGGATGACCCAAAGGGCTTTTGCTCAGATTTTCATTTAAAACGAACCATTTGATTTGATCAGAGAACATTATTTCCCCCCAAAGAACTTTCTGAATGATCTGAAGACGTAAAAACAGGCAGTTTATAACCAAAATTGTTTTGCTGTCTTTTATATAGTGGTCACTAGATAGCTAATGTCATAAAATCCACTGCCTCAGAGGGAGATGCCTTAGTTAATTAGTTACAATCAGTACAGTGCTTAGGGATTCAGTGCTCCTGCCTGTATATTTGCCTGCTAACATAATCATAGGTTAGCATATCGTGGCTTATTTCCCATACCTGTAATGCAAGGAAACTTTCAGAATCGCATAATCATAGAGGGAGACAACGAGCATCTTTCTAATCAGCCATTTTCCATTCTCTGGACTCCTAAATAGCTCAGGTGAGCCCAATTCTCGGATTTCCTGTTCAACAAACATGAAGTTTCCCAGTCCAACTTGGACTTAGAAATAGTTAATTCACTTGCACATTTCTGATGATACTGTCTTAAGCCTTGTTTTCCAGAGCCATGGAGTTGACTCTGCACACAGGTCCATAGATATAAGGCCTCCTTGTTTTCTGGGCAGCAACCGCCCCTGAGGGGTAAGGGACTGTGTTTTGGGAAGATGGCACAATGTCCAAAGGGAGGCCATTCACAAGCGATGTCCTCTGGGGCCTGGTGCTAGGTCCAGTCCTTTTCAACATCTTCCTTAATGATCTGGATTCCAGGCAGTGTTACCCACAGCAAGTTTGCAGACTTGTTTATAAGAAAACTGGGAGGAGTGTCTGATGTTTAAAAGGCCATGCTGCCATCGGTAGACAGGCTGGAGAGGTGGGCTGACAGGAACCTCATGCTGTTCAACAAGTGGAAGTTCAAAAAGCAAGAGCACACTGCTGGAAAGCAGCTTAGTACGAAAAGGACCTAGGGGTCCCAGTGGACACCAAGTTGAAGCTAGCAATGTGCCCTTGCTAGCTAGAGAAGGCTAATGGTATCCTGGGCAGCATTAAGAAAAATATTGCCAGGGGGTGGAGGAGGTGATCCTTCCTCTCTTCTTAGCCCTGCGGAGTTCACACCTGGAATGTTGGGGTCAGCTGTGGGCTCTCCAGTACAGAAGAGATATAAAACTTGGAGAGAGTCCCATTAAGTCCTCTCCTATAAGGAGAGGCTGAGAGAGGATGGGTTGTTCAGGCTGGAGAAGAGAAGGTTCAGGGGGATCTGTGTGCAAATACCTGAAGGGAGGATGCAAAAAGGACACTTTGCAGGGTTGGCAGAAGAGGTGGCAGGCACCAAGAAGCACAGGAGATCAGGAAACACTGTGATAGTGTGATAGTGACTGATCATGCCCAGGCCAGGGCCTGTGGGTGTCCCTACTTGAGCTGGGATTGGAACAGATGGATCCAGAGGTCCCTTTGAATGTCAGACAATCTGTGATTCTGTAACTTTTGGAACTAGGAGTCTGGCATTCTCCAAGGGCTGTAGGTGGCTGTGACCCTGGCCCCAGTGGACTGGCTCTTGTGGCAATGCTGAGATGGGCCAGCCTGACACTGCTGAGGGTCACTGAGCACACTGTATTCACACATCCTTTCAGGGGCTTGTCTGCGGCCCAGATATGTCACCACACAGCCCAGCCTGGTGATTAATATTGCACAGATTCTACATTTTTCTGTTTAGGTTCTCCAAAATTAAATGGCCAGGGAAGACAACCTGGTGCATTCTTTGGTTCCAAAACTTGGGGGAAATATAGTAGCACAAGGAAAAGAGAGAGAGGTAAAAGCCCAGCCTTCACCCAGGTCTTGCTTTCCAGGTGACCTCGTATCCCGAGCCATGCACCACCTCCAGCCACTGAATGCCAAGCAGCACGGGAATGGCACGCCAATGCACCAGAAGCAGGGATCACTCTACTGGGAGCCGGAGGCTTTGTACACCCTCTGCTACTTCATGCACTGCCCGCAGATGGAGTGGGAAAACCCGAACGTGGAGCCATCAAAAGTCACACTGCAGACCGAGAGGTAAGAGCCACCTTCGAGTATGTTTCATATCTTTGTGAAGACATTCTGCTGATAAATCAGTGTTGCTAATTGCTAATTACAGCTTGTGCATAGGAGGCTGCAGAGCAGTCTGTTTTGGCTTGGGATCACCTTTCTGAAATCCCGTTTCTCTTACTGAAGTGCTCCATGGCTGACCCAATATATATCAAAAGTGACACCCAGTGGCTACATTCAGCAAATTGGTTCCAGATGTGCACTTGGTAGAGATTTCCGTTTTCTTTCTTTGTTGCTCAGCTATTCTGTTTTGGAAAAGAAAATGAGAACTTCTATTTCTGGTATAGCAGGTCTAGGTTTAAATGTGTCTTTCTACACATTAATAGGGTTTGACAGCTGTGATTTGGGAAGTGGAAAATGAGTAGAGTAGTGTTTAGCAAGGAGGGGTTGTTAAAGACGCAGTGCCCCAGTTGTGCGAGGTACCAGGGTAGGTTATGTACTCAGCATAAGAGGAACTTGGGGGCTGTGAGCTCCTGCCCAGCCTCTGGGGTGTGCTGCTTGGGATGTGGCTGCATCCAGCTCTGCTGCCTTCATCCGCCCTTCAGTATCAACCAGGGCAGAAGAAGCGAGTTCAAGACTCAGTCCTGCTCAGAATCTTCTGTAAAGAAAGGAGATGTAGATAAAGCCATCTTGTCAAAAATGCAGCAGCCTCTCTAGTAAGAAGAGCCAAGCTCTGCCTCCACTTGTGGTCTGAGGTATGTTTTGCTGTTTCACTTCCCTGAACCAGGAGTTGCCACTGAGGAGATGAGAGGAATGACCAGTGCTTGGAAAGAGATGCATATTCATGTTTAAGATGGTGTATCATGATGGTGCAAATGCCAGCTGAACTCCACATTCATGTCCTGCTGTATCATGCTGTATGTGTGAGCCAAACTGATACATGCACTGACATTTGCATGTATGGGGCTTGGTTACTGTTTTAGTATGAAGTTTGCATCTCAAAAGCAGTGTTTGAGAATGTCATTATATAGGTAAACTTAAGTGGTATATAATATGATATTTTCATTGAATTATTTTTAAATTGACTCGTAGAAAATCAGAAAAGACGAAACTCTAGCATTAGTGATTCTACTGGGAACTTGGCCATTTTTCTTTGGGTGGCATTTTGTTTTTTTCCAAGTCTGGGTCATTCAGTTAGCATGGTCTTTGGTTTTTGCTCTATTGATTCCCATGTGTGAAAGAAACAGAAAGGGAAGTTAAAAGAACCTGGAATTTTAATATCGTTCTAAATCAGTTTTATTTTGTGAATTGTTAGCCAACCTGGCTCTTGCAGAAGGCCTACCTCATAAGCAAGAGTTCTCGTGGTTAGTACTGTGCTAAAAGTGGTGTCTGAAATTAGAAGATATTCTCACCTGATCTGTAGTCACCATCTGTGGGAGTTAATACCCTTGGGACCAGTGGAACTATAAAGGTTAGTAACAATGAGGCTCTGGGTTTGTAAAATTTCTAAAGACTTTCCTGTGGAAGGTGAGAGGGGCAGGAATATTTGTAGAATCTCATTTAGCATTTGCTTTAATAGGTTTTCCTCTTCCTGAGGTAGTCTTAATATATCTTCTCTTTGTTAGAGCAATTGAAATGCTGATTATATAAAGCCAGATGCAATTTCTCTTCTTTGCTATATTACGAGTATTCAGTTTGGCAAAATGTCTTCCTTTGGAAGACTGGTTTAACAACTGTGGTGTGTGGTTAGGGCCAAAGTAAGTACTCAGTGTTATTGCCAAGAGTTTGTGGTCAATTTTGGAAGGAACAGATACTCCTTCTATTGCCTAATCAAACATGCGTTTGTACTTTGTGCTGGAAAACACAAGTGGAAGTGATGCAGGGGTAAGCACGTGCCCAGATATTTCCACTGCATGTGCTGTGTAGCATGCCTCACCAGCACCAGCTGGATGGAAGTATCTTGGGCTGCCCAGCAAGTAATCCAGTTCAGCTGATTTCTGTTTAGTGCTCTGAGAAGCCTCCCTTCATATTTCCAGTCAAAGACTTATCAGTGCTGTTCTTTATATGCAAGCATGCTTTATGGTCCATGACTTATTTCTGGTGTTTTCAGTTTTTGTGGTGGGTTTTTATGCATTATGAGGAAGTGGGTTTGTTAAACATGACATTTTTATATGCAGAATATTTGCAGGCTTGATGCCTTATCTCTGTTCCTTATTCCCTCTCTTTTCCTTCGGCTGTGACAATGACTTTTATGTTGGAAAAAACACAGAGAGAAGGAAGGAGATCCAGGCAATTTCCCCCTTCCCTGGCCTCTCTGGGTCCCGGCTGGTGCAGAGAAGCCAGAAAATGAGTGGATGTGGCCACAAACAGTATTTTCTTGGAACAAGGGTTGTACTTGGCTCATTTGAAGACAACCTGGCTACTATTTTGGCCCTCTTTCCTGATCATGCATGCCCAGGATGGGGAGAGGGTTATGAGATGTGGCCAGAGAACTCCCCAAGTTCTCACAGGGCTCAATGGCCCAATGTTAGCTTCTCCTCCTTCTCAACCATCTCTATTCCACTCGGGCTTGGTCTCTCAACCACAGTTGAATTGGATTGAGTTACAAAACCGCAAAGGCTCTGCTTGTTCTTCTGCAGCAGCTGGGTGTGGAAGGGAAGCTGGAGCCTAATCCCTGCAACCAGTATAGTTGCAGTCCTGCCTGGGTTAGCACTTCCTAGCATAAAAAGCAACACCTCCTGTGAAGTCTCATGGGATGCATAAAATCGGATGTTTACCTTTGAATAAATCCAACACTTTGCTTCTAGGGAGTATTTTCTAGGGAGTGTTTCTCTGTGTTCTTCACGGGGGTAAAGAAATAAGAATGCTATTTATAATAGCGGTTGTCTTCACATAAAATGAAAGGGAAAAAATATTATGCAATAATGAGGCTGGGAGAGTAGGAAAGTGGCGAGGATTTCTCAGAAAATCTGGAAAATACTCCCTTCTTCTCAAGCTCCAGCAAACCCAACCTCCACATTCATACGCTTCTTTCAATCTGATCAGATTTGAATAAACCCTGTGCCTTTTGGCTGTGTTGTTGGCACTACCACAAGCCAGTCCTGCTGGGATAGATTATTTCATGGCCCTGGGTACCATGTAGATGGCTATTTTGGCAGGTGTGAAAGTGCAGGAGGGGATTTGGATCTGTTTGTGAGGCCACTGTTCCTGACAGCCAGGAAGCAATGGAGATGTTTGTCTTGTGCCAGATGTTGTCTGTGAAACCATCATTCCTCTGGTGCCCTCACGTGCAGGTGGCTGCAGATTATTTAGGTTTGTTCATTCTTCTGCTTTCCTGGGAATTGAAAAAGGAAGAATTTGTCAATTAGACGGCTGTTGCCAAGATTTCTTTCTAGCTTGCTGCTTCTAGTTTAATAAAAGGATCTGTCCTGTGGTTGTGTTTTGCTTCTAGGCTTCCAAAATTATTGCAAGTAATTTCTTAAGCACCGGAAAGCACAGAATCTGTAGCTGCAGATTTGTTTGATGCTTTTTCTTAAGTGGTTCCTCACCCACTTTTACCCACAGCTGTATTGACAAAGTCCTCATGACTTCCTAACTCTCCATGTTCCCCATTAACAACTCATTGAGAAGCAGTGGCTCAGCACTCAGCCTGTCCAGGGCCACCCATTAATTCTGCTCACAAGGCAGCAAAGTGCCTTCCCCAGCAATTCCTCAGTTCCTTCAGCACTTGGTACGGCTGTGTCCATAAAATAGCCATAAAACCATTTCACTAAGAATACAGCCAGGAAGATGTGGCCCTGCTTTAAGTCATTCTGTGGTGCGAACTCCAGCAAAGGCCAGCAGAAAGCAGAGCGACCCCTCAGAGTGCTGCTGAGAGCGGAGAAAGCACAAGCATTGCACCTCTGGAAGAAATTAGAATGGGAAAGTCCTGCTATGAAACTGGTTTATCCTGCAGCGTGTTTGCAGAAGACATTACATGTTTGGTGTGCTAGTATGGCATAATCTTGTATTAAACCCATGGTAAAACCATGGCCTCGCTGAACTCAGGAGTTATCACCATTGCTTATTTCTCTGGGAGCCAATGAGAGGGAATCTCAAATTCATCCTCACTCATCCTCTGCGTTTGCATCCTAAGTATCAAACTTCCCACTTGTTAAAAATTGCTTCAGAATTGGTATTGGCAGCTGCCTGCACACTGGATTGCACACAGCACACGAAGCAGCACAGACAGCATTTGTAGCTCTGCTGTCAGGCACCATATCCTCGCGGTGCTGGGGCTGTATTCTAAACCTAATTTATCAAGCGAGGCTTAAGCTGTCCGTGTGATCTCTATAGGGTTTGTTAAATAGAGAAAACTGTGTGCAGCGCTGGGAGGAACGTAGCACCAGGGCTGCTCTGCGCCGCGTTCCCGACAGCGCTCCTGCGGCTGGCTGCTTTCCAGGGATTTCTGTCGCAGCCAGGCGTGTCACATTTGATGTCGGAACAGCCTGGGAAACATCTCCCTGCTGTCTCTGCTGGACAAGTCATCGCTCTGACTTGATTGTGTTTCAGGTCTTGCCCAGAACTGCTTTCATGCAGGAGAGGCAACAGGGACTGCGTGCCTAACCCCTGGCTGTGAGCTGAAGGCCCGTGACTTGCAGATCTCTGGTGCAGACCCGAGCATTGCAGGCTAGGTGCATAGAGCATATGGGTGAACGCTCTCTCTGCTTAGGCAGATCCTTCAGCCTGATTAAAATGTAGAACTGCCTTTGTCAGAGTCTTGGGCCATGCTTAGCAAGGTTTCTGGAGTCACAGAGGGGTTGAGCAGCCGGCTCCCGGTGCGGTACCTCAGGAGTGCGGTGGGAAGCTTTGGCTCTCAAGGAAGACAAGGAGTTTGTGGTTTAAATATAAAATGCACGCATTCAAAATGTCTGCTAAGGACTGGAGAAAGTGTACTTTTCTGGTCTCCAGTAGTGCTAACGATGGGCTAGCATTATACATATGGTTTTATTGTGTTTTCTAAAAGCAGATTGTAAGAGTCAAGAATGCTTTGCAATCTGCATATTGGGATTTTCTTTCAACAACACCCATGAAAATATAAACACAGAAGACAACCAAATGAAATGATCTTTGCATCATTTTAAATTTGCTGACTCATATCTGCAAGCAGAAACATCTCTCCACCTTTGTCTGAATCCACCTGTGCTTTTCTTGTAAAGGTACGGCCTTCCCTTCTCTACTGGAGGGCAAGTGGTATGAGGAGCAGCTGAGGGCCCCGGGTTTGCTCAGCACAGAGCAGAGGAGCTGAGGGGAGGCCTGATGGCGGCTGCAGCTCCTCACAGGGAGCGGAGGGCAGCGCTGAGCTCTGCTCTGTGTGACAGCGACAGGGCCCGAGGGAACGGCATGGAGCTGTCAGGGGAGGGCAGCTGGGGGTTAGGGACAGGGTCTGCAGCAGGCAGTGATCACAGCCCCAAGCTACTGGAGTTCAAGGTGTATGGGGACACTGCTGTCAGATAGATAATCTGATTTCTGGGTGGTGCTTTGTGGAGCCAGGGGTTGGGCTCTGTGATCCTCGTGCTTTCTTCTAACTCGGGATGTTGTGTGACTGTTGTCAGAAATACTGCTCACTCTCACTTGTTGCTTTTAAAATTGTAAATGCCAGCAATGACCTGTATTTTAAGGTAAAGCAAGGTCAGGTCTGTAGAGCTGTGCCCACTTTCTATCTACTGAAACTGAGAGGGGGGACAGCAAGAAACATCTGAGATCCAGTTAGGACGGTTATGCTTGCAGATGTCTGCAGGGCAGACGAGCTCATGAGTCCTGAACTGTCCCAAAAAAGCTGTGAGAGAAGTGTAGGGTGTGGGGCTGCAGCAGGGAAGTAGGGAATGCCAGCGAGGTCAGGGTTTGGCCCTTACAGCTGTAGCTGAGTATGTGCTGTCACCTCCCCAGTGTATCCCATGAGCCTCAAATAGGTGTGGAAGAGGAAGGAGGCCTGAGATGCTGCTCCTGTAGGGATAGGTGTCTTAATGTGGTGAGAACAGCCCTGATAATTCTCTTCAGTTTAAGCAGGAGTGCAGTGAGGGCATGCTTGAGGATGATCTGGTTGTCCCCTTGCCAAGGACTGGGGACAGTGCTGAGAAGGGTCTGGCCTCTTGGGAGCTCTTCATCCTCCTCCCCCTGCAGCTCTTCTGCATGGCACCAGGGCTGCCTCAGCACAGAGACCTCTCTTTGTATCCCCATCTGGGACGGTACTTCCTTTAGTTCAGGAAAATGTCAAAGCTTGTGCCAAAATCCATTCATTTTTGGAATATGACTTAAGATGATGTTTAGCTTCCCAGCAGTGCATGGAAGTTGCCTGGTGTGTGCCCTTACTGCTAAGCGCAGGTGCAGAGGGGCTGAAGGAGGAGGTCAGTGACTTTTCTGCTTCTCTGCTCTGGATCTCCTAGTTGCTGCCTGCCTTTGTACGGCAGAGATAAATCAGCTGTGAGTGCTATAATGATGTGATGCATTCACTTGATCTGTTTTTGCAGAGTGTCATTTGGAAAGTGATACGTATCTTGCTGATGTCATGCTATCTTGTGGATTGCCGCCTTCCTATAACTTTGTAATCCTCTTTCTCCTTTGGCACACAAATAGCATTCAAAAAAACCCAACCAACTTCACATGATGCATGGACTCCTGAAGGGTATTTTTAACCTATTGCTCTCAACCATATTTGGTTCTCCTCTCAAAACACAAATTCCTTGACATGCTCAGATAGGCAGTGGCGGGGCTTTCTGCCCTGGAAAAAAGAATGTAATGTATTCTGATTGAATCCCACATCCTCCCATGCAGAGTAAAACTGGTCTTTTGAGAAAATCCTGCAGCTTCCCTATAACACTGCTTCTTTTCCCTTTCAGGATTTATTGCACCAAATAAATTCATTTCTATTTCTCTGCTGAAGCTTGCAAGATCAGGAGAGAAAACATGACATCTTGCAGCAGAGTTGATTCAGTTCCTGTAAATAATTTTATTTGCCCTGCTCAGTACTGCAGTGGGGCAAATCTGCTGGGTGAGCTTCTGCCCTGCACAAGAGGGGAGAATAAATGAGCCCCCAAGTTGCTTGTTTTGTAGGAGAGTGAACTATGGCCTAGAATTTAGCTTCCTGTTAACTGTTTCCAGTGCACCAAGGTCTGTGTGTAATTATATACGTTTTTACACTTCCATCATGATTTGCACTGCTTCCCTGTTTGCTTGGTGAGTGATGAAAGCAACTCCCACCGATCAGTTGTTCCCAGCAGTCCTGGCTGCAGGGAGCTGCCTTGCCAAGCCCTTTGCCACCAGCCTTCTGGAGCAGCATGCAGCAGAATTCCCTGTTCTTTTGTCCCCTGTTCCCCTTAGAGTGAAATAGTGTACCCTCTCCATCCTCCGACCACTGCCATCACTGTGATCCTGCTGGGCTCTGGAAATCTGATCACAGTGGTTGTGGGAGTTTGTTCTCTTTTTATCATTCTCTTTCCATGGCAGTGGCAGGTCTGGAGAAAGGGAAAGCTGGGAAACAAATGCAGCCTGGTCTCAAGGTGATGGAAATGCATTTGAATGGAATAATAATGGAAGTGTCAAGTCAGCAAAAGTTGTCATATTTCAGAAGGAGGTTATTCGTTTATGTACCCGTGCGAATTGGGAACCTGGTGTCCTAGGGAAAGTCAGTGGCCTTAGGGCTTCTGCGTCCTTCAGCACTTTTGAAATATCTCATCCCTCCTTAAGGATATTAATATTAGAGCTCTGTAAAGTTGGTTCTTAAAAAGAAAAAAATAAATGGCATAAAAAGCTATAAATAGGAAAAAGATATTCCAGAATCAACATTTGATTAAATCATTTTTCTCAGGGTAGATTATTTTTGGGTAAAGTTAGGTATTTAAAATGCAAAGTTTTTGCCTACAGGGTACCTAATCCAGTCTTTTTTTTTTTCCTCTCTGTTGGAAGGGACTACGGAAAGCAAGACAAGTCAGGCAAAGCAATATGAGATAAAAAGGAGCAGGAGAAGGGAAGGGAAGGAAGCACAAGTAGGGGATGATGCTACTAACAAAATGAGATACTGAGTTAATAAACATAGAATGTATGGCTAAGAAGGAGAAAGGGAGCCATTAAGGAAAGATAAAATGATTGCCTTTTTTCCAGGGCAAAAATGATGATAAAAGGTATAAGGTTCAGGAGGAGAAGGTAGAAGCATGTTAATAGCAGATGTTCCTTTAGCAGTCATTTACAAGCTTCATCTCTCTTTCTCTTTCTTTCTTCCTTTCTTTTTTTTTTTTTTTGTTTATATTATAATACTAAAACAATCTTGTTAGCATCCCTTAGCCATGGTATTTTCTTTGCAGTTTGGACAGAATGATCTTGCTATGTCTACGTAGTTTTCAGCAGTCCTATCTAAGTACAGAACTTTCAGCATAGTTTACATGTAGCTTTTGGGCAGATTTTTTTTTTTTAATTATTATTTCATGATTTTAGAATTTTATACTAATCTTCTACCCTACCTCAGCCCTTCTCCACTCAGACTTTGCTTTCTTATGCACCATGGAGGATGCCATCAGCGCTGGGATGTCCACAGAAACCATTTGGGGATTGGAAGGCTACTGCTGTGACTTGCATTGCTCTCTAGGTTTTGTTCACTGTGATCTCCCAGGCAGTTACATTCCAAGATGTTCAGCTGCAGATCTTCTTTAGTTTTTTTAAACCCTAAACTTGGACTTGGAGTTATGGTTCTTGAGTTTACATGTGGTCAAGCAGTGTACTGTGTGCTTCTTGTAAGGCATGTGCTGCTCCTGCCAGAACATGGGGCTGCCCAGGTGCTGTGGAGCGAAGGGCTGTGTCTCTGGCAGTGGCCACATGCTGGCAGTGACAGAGTGGGGCTGTGACCAAGTCCCACTGTGCCCTTTGGGGACAGTGGTTTTGTTCACGTGGCAGAACAGCCACTACCCAAAGGCAGAGCAACTTGATACAGACTGCAGTAGGTATAAAAGTGAGATGATCCAGGCTGATTGCTGATGCTGCTCAACAATGCAGTGGGAGCAGCTGTTGAGGTCCCGCTTTGCAGCGAGGTGCACACTGCATCAGTGGAGATGCTGGAGATGTCCTTGCACGTTGCCTCCGCGTGCTGAGCACATAGGGTCAGGATCCCCTCTCTCCACCCTCATGGAGCAACAAGGAGTGTGCCAGCCCCAATGCATCATCCAGAGCAGGATGCCATCCTGTGCTGTCTCCTGCCCTCTTTTGGGACGCATGGTGCAGAAGTGGGGGAGGACTTTGGGTGCGGGTGCACCGATCTCACAGGGGCCCCGTAAATGAGCATGGCTTATAAATCTGACATTTTGACTAATCCTGCTCCAGAGACAGGGCTCTTGATTTAGACCTGCAAGAAATTGCTGAGCTAGTTTGCTCTTCTACAGTTTCATTTTGTGTCTTTCCTTCTCCCTCCCTGTATTCTACATCCTTTCTGTACATTGCAAACTCATCCATGCACTCACCACCCCTATATCACTCTATAGCCGTTGTTTTGCTGTCTGTACCATGGCACTGATGTCTGTGTGCTTCCCCAGGCCGTTCATCGTGCTGCCGCCCCTGATGGAGTGGATTCGGGTTGCCGTCGCTCACGCGGGGCACCGTCGCAGCTTCTCGGTGGACAGTGATGACGTACGGCAGGCAGCCAGGCTTCTGCTGCCCGGAGTTGACTGTGAACCTCGACAGCTAAAGTAAGTCCACAGAAAGATCGGATGCTTTGTGCAAAACGTGTCTCTCTCTCTCTCTCAGTGACGGTGAATTAGCAGGCAGGCAGAGGGCTCTCTCATTTCCCCGAGAGGTGCACGGATGCTCGGGCTCGTCGCTGCGTGCGCTGCAAAATCGGCTCTGGGATTTGCTCACATCCGTGGATAAGCCGGTTGCACGGTAATGGGTGCCTGAATATCTCACAGCTGGACCGAGCCCGTAATCTGCTCGCCTGGCTTTTTTCTCTTACTGTTAGGTTCTGCTTGGTAATGAGAGGCTGAAATTTTCTGCTAATTGTCTGTTTTGCATTGCTTCGCCCTAGAATACTGAGATACAACTGGCGAGGCTGCAGATATTTTCAGTGCTTTGTTTTCAGCATTAATGGTTAAAGGGCAGATTTAAACTTATAGGTAAGACTACTTCTCATGGTGAAATTGTATTTTCCATGCTAATGTCAGTTCAAATTAGTTGTAAATGTCAGCCTGGATAATTTGACTTTTTCATGTATCAGATGCGACCTTTTGGTTTTCTAATGAAGTCCTAAAGTATTTATTGCCAGAATGTTTTTAGTGTCTGTTTTGCTTCATTGTTACGTACATGTATAAAAGCATGATGTAGGGCTGTGCTGTAGTCGAGAACATAGTTGGTTTTGATTTTTGTATGAAAAGGCATTATGAATCTGCCAAAGGAGAAATTACTCACTGATAACTACTTTATGAATTTGTATGTTAAAAAAAACACATTTTTCAGCAGTCTGCCTCTCCTATAGCACTAGGTGCATTCCTCCCTGCAACACAGAAAGCAGAGCAACGAGCTACATGATTAGCTGTGACAACCTGCATCAGAGCAGCTGGGCTATGTTGACCCTTGCCTTGACATGCTCTTTCACCAGAGACCATAATACTTTACTTTGTGATCTGCACAAGATTTTTATAGTTGAAGCCATTGAATATTTAATTGAAGAAATATGTTGAATTTCAAAAGCTAAATCTGGAGCGTTGCATATTTCAGATACTGACTGTAATTGCTTCCCTTCAGTGTGAACATCTTGACCCTCATTTCCAGAAGTGCAGCATTCTGCATCCCTACTGAAGTGTCAAGACTTACAGGCACAGTGCACTTTCTGAGGACCTTGTGCTTGGTTTCTAAAAGGCACCATAAATTCAATTCCTGTTTTGATTTTTAGGTAGGATTGCAAATAAGGCAGTAATGTTTGCTCCGTAAAGATTCTGTCTTAAAAAGGGACGTAAACATAGTTAAGTATTTGTGCACTTAAAAAAATGCTGTGTACCGTTCTTCAAATGTGTGTGTGTATGTATTTTTGTGTATATATAGAGAGAGGCTGGATTGGATGGAGCCACGGGCAGCTGATTTGGTGGGTGGTAGCCCTGCCTACAGCAAGGGGTTGAAACTCGATAGGCTTTAAGGTCCCTTCCAACCCAACCGTTCTGTGATTCTCTGAATAACTTGTTAGATGATTTTCCAGAAGTTTCAAAATCACTTAAAGTTGAGGAGAGTTGCTTTGTGCCCAAGGAAAATTTATTGGTGATGAGGAACAAATCAGTGTTTAGTTTAAAGCTGCCATCCAGAATTCATTTCCTAATGAATAGAAGCAGTAGCTGTTGTCCTGCCTGTCTCACAGGCAGGAATGAGCCTGAAGAGTGCAGCCCAGAATTAATCAGGTGGGAATGAAAAATTAAATCATTCTGGGGACAAGCTCTGGAGTTCACAGAGACCAGACATTGCAGTGTGCCCTTGTTTGACTCTAGGGGCCCAATTCAACCGCTGATGTTTCAAAGTGAGAATCTCTCCCCACTGCACAGGCAGAGGTCTACAGATAAGTTTTGGGGCACTCATGTTTGTGTCAAGGTCCATCCGTGGTGGAGGTTGGTTGTACAGTGGGGGCTTAGGCCCTGCGTGCTTGTAATCATGAGATGCAGAGGAGGGCTCTGCTATTCTGAACAATAATGTCAATTGATTGGAAATCTTGCACTTGCTGGTTTTTATTTGTATTTGGTACAGATCCTCTCCGCTTCTTATTGCCATCAAGCCAAGTGCCAGCCTTCCGTGCCTCCCTGTGAGGGAGGGAGTGTTCCCAAATGTCCTTTCCTCAGCAAGCACTGATGCCATAAATGTAACACTGGGAGAGGACACAGCAGCTTTGCAGGGGATTGCTTTATAAATAAGCTGTGTGATGGATGGCAGCTGAAGGATTTTAAATGCAGTGAGCTTGATATATTTTTGTGACTTTTATAAAGATGTCTTAATAAGTAGAACCTTGAGACCCGTTCAAATTCTAGACTTTTCTTAGCATTCTTCTTTCATCCCTTAAATACAGAAACCCAAACCAAAAAACTCACCGTGTGTTACATCCCATGGCCCATGTCCTGTGCTGTGTGCAGCTGCGTCATTCCGTCGTGTTGATTCACAACCTGTCATTGCTAACACATAAAGCAAAATCAGCTTCCACACTGGAAAAATGCACTTGCAGAGAGAGGGAGAGCTCTGGCAGAATCTCAAAGGCTATGAAGTTCAGATAAAAAACAAATATTCAGTGTCTTATCTGGACTACAGCATGGTCTCCCAGAGGAGCCGTGTGACACCTCCCGGCACAATCACATACTCCAACAGTGAGGTTCCTGATATGTGTTTGTAAATCACCTCTGCTCTCTTCCTGCCTTTCACTCCAGTACTTCCTCTCTTTCTTCCCTCTTCTGATCTTTAAAAATCCATCCCCTTAATTTCTTTCCCTTAATCTCCTGAAAGAGGAGCTGCTTTTGCTGTGTGCATAGGACTGAGGGAGGCTGGAATCAGGCAGAAGCTGTCTGTCTCCTTCCCAGTCTCTTGATTTTACAGCACCAGACATGCCAGAAAGTTTCTACCCTTTCCCAGCTTTGGGAGATGAACAAGGATATAAATGTTCAACCTTCTCCCAGGAGTGGGAGCTTTAAATAGAGTTGTCTCCACCGCTTGCAAGGAGGTAGGATTCACCTACCTACCAGATGGGTTGACTGCTGGATGTACAACAGCTAGCTGAGACTGAAGCACACAAGTTGTGCCAAAGACATTCTTTGTCATAGTGGGAGACCAGACCTAAATAACATCCTACCTGGTCCCAGGCCATGTTGTGCCACCCAAAGCAGCTGGATGTAGCCAGTAGAGAGTCACATGCCAAGCAGCTCTCTGCTGGCATAAATCTGGTGAAGGTGGGTGCTCTGCCCCCAGCACTAGGCTTTTGGTTAGTGAAGGCATCAGGGGTGAAGGAAATTTGCTGTCAAAAGAGTGTGGTGGTATCATTTGTGTTGGACTTGCTCCTGTGCTGCAAGTTGTTCTCGAACTTCTCTAGTCTGTCTGGTTGTGAACAGATGCCTGCCTTTGGCTGCTCCTCTTCATTCCATCAGCAAAGCGTAGCTTCCCCTTGCTCAACCTAAATACAAGCAGCTCTAAACACATCTCTTTCCTTCCTCTACTCTGTAGGACAGTTATTAAAAACAAAAAAAAGACAAAAAAACCAATGTGTTGGATGTGATGGGGAGAATTCCTAATGGATGACTGCAGACGGGGTCTGAAGGCTGAAGGCAGGGAAACAGCGAAGGAGGAACATCCAGTATTGTTCAGCACAAAGGCTGCCGTCTCTTTTATCAGTAGTTTTATTTCTGCTTGCAATATACTATGGCAATCCTGCAGGACGCAAAGATGCTGGAACAAATTGACCGGAGAGAGGTGGTAGTGTCATGCAAGAGACTGTTACACAGTCAGTCTTGCATATGACTGAATTGCTCTATTTTCTGGACAGTCAGAAGTTAAAAGAAAGCGATGGGGTACAAGTGCATATGAGGGCGTGTATGTTCATTCTGATGTCCAGAAGCAATAAGAATTCAATTCTTCGCCAGGCTAGGCATTTCTCTGTGGCTGCAGCAGTATCTAGAAGGCCTCTCGCATTTGTCAGTGCCCTGTCCCCTTGTCCAGGTCACTGGAAGGCTGCAACACTATGAGCTGGCCTCTGGGAGAGAAGCAGAGTTCAGTACCTTTGGTGAATGGTTTCTACCTGTCCCTAGATGAAAAGGCTCCTGTCTTGAACACTAGAGAAGCAACATTTTCTGCAACATTTATGACTGTCTAGCACAGGTCACAGCTGCTTCAGCGAAGGCATGTCTTGGCAAGAGGATCACAGGAAGGTTCTTTAAGCAGATCTGAACTCCATTTGGATGATTTTAACCAACCAAGCAATACTCTCCTGGTGGCAAATGATAGAACCAGAGGGAATGGCATGGAGCTGCATCAGAGGAGGGTCAGTTTGAGTGTTAGGAAAAAGTTATTCATTAGAGGGTGGTGGGCTTGGTACAGCCATCTCAGGGCATGGCCCCAGGCTACCCTTGTTCATGAGGCATCTGGATAATGCTCTCAGATGTATGGTCTGATTTTTTGGTAGTGCTGTGTGGAGCCAGGGGTTGGATCTCTTCCAATTCAGGATATTCTGTGATTCTCTGATTCAAATGACGGAGGTGGGCAGTGGCATTTTTGCCATCATGGGTGAGTTCCAAAAGAGTTTCTTACTGCCCTATCCTATCTTGATGTGCAGAGCACGGAGCTCCGCATACGTGTAGTCAAATGTCATTGGAGGTGACAACATCACTGCTGCTAGTCTCAATGCTGTTCTCTCAGGTTGCTGGGCTTGCTTCCAGTGATGGCAGTAAATACTCTTTTCTGCTCTGACGGCTGAGAATCTGGGTCCTGTCTCTGCTCCTGACCATGGATATATGCATTTTTCTCCTCTTTTCCTGCAGCGCAGAGAGGAAACTGGTATATTTATGTCCCAGCCTTGAGAAGGCACCTGGGAAAGGTGTGCAGCAGTGCTAACAGATGCCATCACCAGAGACTCAATACTTTGTTTTCAGGAAGAAAATCCTGATGGGGAAAGAAAACTAAATAATAACAACAAGGTTATGAAAATGGAAAAACAGCCATCAAAAAGGGAGTGAACTAG